GATAACATTAGCTTTATTCTTGTATAAATACATTCCCTTAGTTTTCTTTCATTTAAAAACTCCAGCTTAGTGCAGTACTGACAGTGACCTTAGAAGTGACCCTGCCAAATCACCATGAAATGCAATCAGTCTAAAATAATGAATTATGAATACTAAATCATCCATTCTCATACCCTCCAACCCTCTCCCCCAAGCTTACAGCTGTTTTCTCAATTTCTTGTAGGCAATAGCAGAAGTAGAGCAGATGATATCAAAGCTCATACCAACCTCAGATACACACTTTCTGCAGAGAGATAATATGGACTAATTAGTTACCTGGTGCCTGCCTTACTCCTACAGGCTAACGAGCTCTCCTGACCCTTACATCAGGCTGTCATTTGTCCCAGCTGAGAACCTGACACGGTGCCTCCCCACGAACGTTATGCTGATTTTTATCACTGCTTTTACATTCCATGCCCTTCATCTGAACAGGATTTTTTCAGCTGTAAATCCTTAGTGGGCACCAATGTCCCTAAATTTTCCTCTGGGCTTGGCTACTTAGTTGAATGTATCCTCTCATTGACCGGCAGCTTGAGGAATCCTGTGTGTCCCAACTATCCCAAGGAAGAAACATCAGAGTCTGCAGGCCCCCAGGTTCAAAAGGGAGAGCTGAAATGGATGGAGTGGGTTTGGCCAGATCTTCCTAGCAGCTTTCTGTAATAGAGTAAGACATCATTTCATGACAACCTGGGGAAGAAATTCAGGCCATGAGCAAAATGAATGAAGTGATGGATCAGATCCTCATCCTTGCTGCAGAAAAAGAGGTTACAAATTTCAAATCAGAACATTCTTCTTAGAAAACTGTGAAAAATGCACTGTGATATCCTACCCAGGATGATCTCAGGATTAGTCCTTCCCCTGTCCTCCTAAGATTAACAAGGCAGTTCTTAATCTAAAGGGCTCCACAGCTGACAATATTTCTCCCTTAGCTGAAAAAGGAGAAACAGTATCCTTGAAAAACAGACATAAACACCGGAAAGATCCTCAAAACTTAATAAATTGCTGCCACTTCAGACTAACCTGCCCTAATTCAGCAGGTGGAGTACAGGAACTGCATTATTCAGGTGCACAGGAGGAAATGTGCTCCCCCTTCTTCTCCTCGAGACCTGCAGTCCCTGTTTTCTTTACTTTAAACACCTGCAAACAGCAAACCCTGTAAAACCATCCACTTCTTCCAGGGATGGGCTTCTTTCAGAGCTACCCTGGGTCAAACAGACAAATACCTTGTGCAGAAATGGAGCTCTGCTCTCACAGAGCTACCATTTTTTCCCCATATCTTCATTTTCTGTTGATGTTATGTGCTTTAATAGAATCAGAATGAATCCTTACAACATGTTATACTGTTTAAATGAGAAAAGTTTGTAGTTTGTTCAAAATACTAGCAATGTAAAAAAATGCAAGACTATACACAGAGATCATTAAACAACATATATCTTTCAGCAAGTGCATGAGGTAATTTACTTTCCAGTTCTCAAGGACAAGAATAAAATTCTGTTGAGGTTTTTGGTGAGGAGGGATCGCTCTGCCCACGGATGCACTCGGGGGTGGCACCCACTCGTGTTACCTGCTGCTCCTGGGGATAACCCTGGTCCCAAACCCAAATGAAAAGGCAGTATTTGGGGTCTTGCATTTGCACAGCTAATGCAGGGATTGACTAGCTCTAGGTAGTTTTCAGTTATAACGTATAAATGAAGCAAATTGGTGTGCATGGAATGCATACATTATGGATCTCCAGAAGATTATTCCTCTCAAGTCAAATAATTCTCTTACAAGCTCCCCAATGGGTATTTGACAGCTATCTGAAGAGAAAATATAGTTGATATTTGAATCTATTTCATGAAATACAAATTTCTACCATAAATCAACATTATGATTGCCTATGCGGTCATTTATAAATGCGAAAATACACACTGTGCTCACTTTTAGCACTATTTGCTCTAAAAGCAGCATGTATTACTTTTCCTACGAAGTTTCTATTTAACAATGGTCTAAAGTAAAATGTGATCAGAAACAGAAAGGTTTTACACACATAAAAGCAGCAAAGGGCAGAGTCGCTCTTCAATTCTCTCTGTCCTCATTCAAGTGACTACTTGTGCAGTATTTAAAATGCAGCAACAGTTTTTCATATTTATTTTTTTTTAGAAAAAATAGTCCTAAATTCTGTACCAGCAAAGATACTGATCTACCACAGCTGAGCAGAATTGATCCAGAGCTTCTTGCACTATCAGATTATTTTTATTATGTGAAAAAATAACCTTTGGCAACACCCACTCCTTTCATAAGCCCATCTTGCTTTAGTTTAAAAAGGAGAAAATTAAAATCGAACTGGTTGGTACTTCATGATAATGCTTCACTTTTTTCTTTAAAGAAAAAAAAAGCTTAAAATGACTCTTAGAAGTTCCCCAAATGTATCTTATGAACAGGTTTCTTAACATTGCAGCGTGTTGGACTGAGAAGTGACTGTTCCGGAGCCATCACGGAGTCCCGCTCCAGGGAAGTGGCCGGGAAGCTCGGCCCATCTCCCGGGCAGCGCTCCAGGCCGCCCCGAACGCTTCCGAAGGGCATCGCTGCTGTCAACAAGTGTCAGCACCTTTCTTATTATTAACTGTTTACAGTAAACTCCTTTAAGAGCATAAGCAATCTTGTTAGGATTGCAATAATTATTCCCAGAAAGAATTGCTGGAGCACCTAGTGCTGGAGGCTAAAACAGGGAAACGTGGAAGGCAACGTGCTTTCATTTACCAGGGAATTCCCCCGGGAGCAGACAGCAACCCTGCTGGGAGTATTCCACAAGGAAAAGCACCCAAGAACCCCATAGAGATCATATAGCAAGGCGATGTTTAGGGATGAAAAAATATTGAACAATCTTAACGGTGTGTTACTCTGTATGACACCAAGGTTAATGCTACGGACGCGTTACCCAGGGGTGATCCTTGAGAAAAGGAAAATGTTTCTTGGGAGCATCCTCAGCCCCTGGGCCTGCCGGGCGGCAGCCCCCACATCCCAGGGCCTGGAACCCCCTGGTTTCCGCAGCGGGACCCGTCCTGCGCGCAGGGAACGGCCCTTCCAGCGGCGCGCGGCTCTGCGGGGCCTGGCTGCCTTTAGGCCTATTTAACTACTCTAAAAACAGCATCTTCCCGTTTTAGAATGCGGTCAAAACTTCAAACGTGCCAAAAACCAATGTTTTCACCTACTCCTTTAAACATATGAAGCTAATATTTAAGCCAATACTTGTGTAGCAAAGAAAATCCCCATTTCTGTGGCTATTTGAATTTTACAGAGATCAGTTCAGAATCTCACTTTAAAAGCAAGTTTTAATGAGCTGTCTTCTCTGCAGTATATCTTAACAGCTTATGTTAATTTTTAACCAACCCATTTAAGAAGAGAAAAAAAACTACCATTTTGTTTATAAAAAAGGAACAAAATGAACTGCAGTTCTTCAACCTTGCTAGGTCAGATCTTTAGTTATACTGCACTATATTTGTGTTGTCAGAGCAAGTCTGTGAAAAAGGCAGGGAGATGGAAGAAAACAGGGGAAAACAGGAACATCTGAAATTTGTTAGGATTTAAAGTCATATTAAAACGATCCTGAGAATCATGGAACAACAGCAGTGTTTGCTCCAAGCACTCCAAGCAGCGTAACTGAACTGTTAGCAAGGGAGCCAACGCGCACGGTGCGAGTGTCACCGATTACAGATGCATTTAGGTCACTGTGTCCGAAGTCCCCAGACGCCGTGTGCTGCCCTACAGGGAGGTGGGAGCCCAGACAAGCAGCTCCAACGCGCTGCTCGTAGTCAGCAAAGGAAAGAGAAGGGCTTTTAGGCCATCAGACTGTCACTAAACTCTACTTGTCACATTGGCAGCTGCCCACCCAGTCGACAAACAGCGACCTAAATGAAGAGCCAAGGTCAAACTAGGCAAATAAAACATATTAAAACCCCACTATTGTTATGACAAGCAGGTTCTTGGCCCGAACTTTTCAGATGTGGGTGTTGAAAGAAGACAAAAGTGATACTCAGAGTTCTGGGGTACCCAAAAGCACCAATGCTTACCAGTTAAAGATCCTCAGGGACAGTAACATGCCTGGTGGAGAGCTGTGCTAACCAAGAGGAGACCTCTCCTCATTTACACCAAATGGCCATTTACAGCGTTTTATAGAGTAGTTCTTTAGCCATAGCTGCAATGTAAACATCAAGGTGTTACCAACACCTTAAATAATGTCACAGGGATGAAGATGCAGGAGGAGATGAGCAGGAGGCAGGACTCTGTTACAGGCAAACTCTTGGGGAGGGAGGAAAAGAATTCTGATCTAGGAACCCAAACAGGTTATGAACTTTAGACAGAAATTTTACATAATTTCACGTTTTATGATCTGAGACAATGCTTTACAGAAAAAAATACATTTAAAAATATTTTCTATTATTTCCAATAGATACGACAGCTCTGATCCAAACAGAAAAACATCTCATATAGGTACTCCATGAAAATCATAGCTAAAGATAAACTTAAATATACCTGCTGATCAAGACAAGACACTCCATCTTACTTACGCACAGTGAAAAATAGTTTAAAACCAGTTTCCATTAAGACACTTATTGGCACACGGTCCATCAAAAGTCCCCTTTCATCTCACGTGGCAGAGAGACTGTCTACAGACACTTCTTCCTGCTCTGCAAGGAGCATACATGAATTTTCACCATAAAACAGTGAACTGTAATAACTTAAAGTTCACCGTGCTGCCCAGTCGCTAGTTGTTTCTTTCAAATACTGCAGGCCATGCGAAGTATTTTCACCAAAATACCCAGGGACTTCATGAAGAATGCTTGTCTTCCCACTGTTTTCTTAAATTCTTACGTGATCTGAGAAGCAGCAGTGGTTGCACCTTGCACAGCCTGTCCCCCTCTTCTGCCAGCTCCTTGGGGAGAAGCTCCGAAGCCTCTCGAGCAGCGGTCCCGGGAGCGTCAGGACAGCGTCACCAGGAGCAGCGACGCCAGCAGCGCGGCGCTCGCCGTCCACCTGCCCGCGCGGGACGCCCTCCGCGCGGGCAGCGCCGCGAACACGGCGTTGCTGTGGTTCGTGGGGATCTCCACGTTGCAGATCATACCCTCGCAGCACGACACGCACTCCTGTTGAGGAAAAACCACGTCACGGGACGCAGGGTCATTCAGCAGGGGCTTTTGCAGCTGTCTGCTCTGTCAACTGACTGCAAAGGCTACAATTAAAGGACTAATCACTGCCCCGGCAGCCCTGACCCACGAGCAGACGGAGTGGGTCGGTTACACGGCCTCTCCTGAGCATCCCCCACTGTGGTCCCTGGGCTTCCCAACCCAACGGGATGCAGCACGTTATGGGAAATGGAGAAAGCTTGCCAAGGCTTCTCCCTTCTAACACATTAACTACAAACACATGTTTTGAAGTTCAGCTTTTTAAACTAAAATATTCTGACCGTAAAACCTCTCTTTCCATTTATTTTTCCCCTCAAACTTTCGTATTCAGTCCATGCTTAACTTCAGACCTCCTTTTTAAAAAGTTTTCTTAAGTTTTTAAGTTAGGCTGATTTTCAGGAGGGATTCTAAAAGTAATTTTCCTTACTGAATCTTCCTTACTAGAAAAGCCATTTTTCATCTAAAACAAAGGAGTAAAAGTTCTTATAAGATAAAGTGCAGCAGAAAGCAAATGCTGCATCATCATTTCCCATCCTCCACCCATCAAAACTTGTTGAAATTGATTAAACTGAAAACCTTAAAAGTAACGTGTTTTTCTTATACAAATAATGCAAAATGCTCCTACTTACTCTGTAACTGCTTTCCCTGTGATGGTGACAGCCTACAAAATGGCATTCATCTCCAGTAGCACATTTTTTGGTGACTGATATACTCTGGCCATGGTCTGTGAAGAGATGAATGGTCAAACAGTACCGAGTACCTAGAAAACAAATCGAAGAAGGGTTTATTTTCATAAAATATGAGTTATTTTGCTAAGTACAAGGTTTTCACGAAATTTAGCAAAATATTCTCACAATAATATAACTTATCCAGGTTGTATGATGTCAGTCAATTAACACTTGCTAAAGAGTGCAAATCTTAAAGCTTGTCCTAATCTCAAACAAGTCATTTATGGCACTGAGAAAAAATACAAACCAGTGTGTAACACTGGGACATGAATATGAGAACATTAGAAACCTTAAAGACAAGCTCATAAAAAACAAAATATATTTCTTAACAAAAGCATGTAAAGTGTCTAAAAGATAGGGAAATGTATCTATTTACACAGTTTTAATGAACTTGTTAGAATAACTTCATTTACAGATACATAAAGAGACAACAAGATTAGAAGTTAAACGTGATGAGTTGTGTTTTGATTGTTATTTTCTGTGTGTGGATGTCACTAGATAGCTTTTAAAGTTTCATACATGCACATATATAGCTATATGTATAGATATATGAATTGTAAAAGAATTGAGTTGTTGCTTTGTGCACTGAAATGATCAGAATATTCACCTCAGCAGAAGTGGGATGACTCACTCTCATTAATTATCTACATCAGGGCTCCTGTGTGCTGCTATGCTAGTTGTGTACAAGATGAGAGATGAGAGGTGGGAAGTGCCATGGAGCACCTCCTCAGCACGGACACACTTACTTTCCGGACACCATCGGTCTTCAGCCCATCTGTTACAGTTGTAATTGTCCACTGCGTTTTCACAGGTAAAGCACTTAAAGCTGTTTGGAAACGGAGTGGCTTTAAAAGTATTAAAATACAGTAAGTTTGCAAATATAAAATATTCAAATATCCAAAATAATATTGTAGTGCTTGCACACACACACACATATTTACAAAAACATATTACATATACATACACAGGTATATATTTTCACATACATGTATTTATCTAACATCACTGCTAGATAAATAAAAGCTGTGACAAGTTTTGCAGACAGCTTTTACATTTAATAGTATTTTTGCTATATCAGAAGTTAAAAACATCGCCTTTTCTTTTCATTATCCCATAACCCAAAGCATTATTTAAGTAGTGGTGGGAAAGCAAGGAAAGAGGGAACAACTTATACATATGCACATGTTAATACATCCGCATCTATGTCTGCACAGCACACAAACACAATCTGCATTCAAATGGCTTTTAATTCCTTTGATGAAACAACCACATCTTCAAAACCAGCTTCGGATCTTGATTGCCAACTTTAAAAATGAAGTTACTGACAAAGGGATCAGGAAGCCTATTGTGAAAGCTTGTTTACGTGGTATACATGTATAAATGGTTTTTAGACACACAGGCTCCTAGATGCACTTATATGCCTATTATACCGAGCTGTCCTGACTGTTTTAATCATACAGCAAGAAAATCTTCTCCACTTCGATGAAGAAAGAGAATACTTGAGATGCTTGATAAGAGGCAAAAATATGATGCTATTAGTGACAACTGACTTCACAGACTCTGAGTTTTTAATTATCTTTGGTTTGAATTAACTGCATGCAGCACACCTATTCTTTCGCCTACAAAAAACCCCAGCAAGATAAAAGACAAAACATCTGTTCTCTATTATTCATAAGAGGTCCACTGCATAATTTGTTCTGTAGGAAGTCATTTCAGAGACAGGAAAGTACCATAAAAGCATTTAAAACATGAAAACTAATGCAATGATGCACTCTTCAATTTAGCAATGCATGCAATTGTTTTCATTTAGTAAACCTGTAAAATCTTAGAAATAAAATAAACCTCTAGGTTTATTAAAGGTTTATTAAAACCTTCTAGGTTTTAAGCAAAAGTTTTGTTTTAAATTTTGTATCTCTCATGTTTGAAAAAGCTCTACAACAAACCTCTAAAGCCAAAGGACCGAAACAACGGGGCAAACGACTAAAACGTTAGGCTCCAATTGCTTGCACAAGAAAAGCGTAACTGGCTACTTACGGTCTAGCGGAGGCTTCACGTTATAAAAGTTGATGTTCTCAGATGAAACCCGTTTCCCAGAAAGGAAGAAGAACTGAAGAAAGGCTCCAGCCAGCATATGATAAAGTAACAGCATGCTGAATATTACTGTGTAGAAGCAAAACTCTTAGGCCTAGGAAGGAAAGGGAATTCATTATTAGGTGGGAACCGCAGGGAGCTGAGCATGCGGAACAATAAAGTTCCTGCAAACTTCTGAAATCTGGGAAATTCAGCCCCCAAACCTACCCTGAAATCGTTACTGCGAGCGAGCCTGCCTCATTAACGGGGTGAGCCACCAAAGCTGAGCGGTTACTGCCTTCTGCTGGCCAGCATCCTGTGCAGGGGGCTGGAATCTCCACAAATACCAAAGCTAACATACTTTCTGTAATCCACTTGCCCTTCTAAGCAACGCCAGATCTTACAGATTGCTTGCAAACATTTGTGATAACCAACACCAAGTCACAGCTCCTTCATTTCTTTTCTTTTAATTAGATGTACGCACACGGAATACGCCCACACGCGGTTACGCTGGACCTAACCCTGATGTTTTGAAGGCAGGAGCACAGGAAGGACTCGCCCGTGCAAACCCCAGCTCGCGCGGAGCCGCGCAGCGTCACGGAAAGCTCTGAACGTGGCTAAATGCTGAACTGGAAATGGTTTTTGCAAAACATTCTTAAAGAACTTAGAGCACTTCTGTCTTTTTCCTTTTTTTTCAGTAAAACGAAGAAAAAAATAAAAATCTTTTTTTTTTTTTTTGGCCAGCAACAGAAAACTTAAGGTCACGCACTGGGAGGCTGGTCCTAATGGGGATTTCTTTTCTACATCTTCCTCTTTTGAATGTATTTCAGTAGCTCTTGAGAATGCCACAGCACACCTGTACTTACAGTGCTCCTCCAAGACTCTCTCTGTAGATGTCTCAGGTTTCTTCTGACTCTAGTCCAGGATCTAAAGAAGGATTAAGAAAAAGAGTAGGGGAAAACAAACAATAATCAGTCATCATAATTCTGTCCTGAAGAAAATAATCAGTTTATAACGAAGATAAAGATACAAAAACAGCCACACTTCTAGCTTTCTAAAAAAAGGATCCACAAAGTCCTGGAGCTATAGCGTGGCTCCATTCTTTGCAGTGCTGCCCTCGCATAGACATACAGATGTTCCCCTTTCTAAGATCCGAAAAAGACAAATGCCAAAAAAAGCAAATGCCAAAAAGGAAAGCAGTGAGACTACCCAGCCTTCCCACACGGGCAAGTTTACTTCTTTTGCAAGGCCAAAAACATTATTCAGGATGTGACCTGGGTGGGACCAGGTTATACCAGATGAACATGAATTTCTCACCCTGGAGATGTTTATCAAGACTATTAACACATGCTATCATTAAAACAGAAGCACTCAGCAGCAGCAAGGTCTTCTGAAAGAGAGAGGACTATTATCAGTCCTCAGCTTAGAGGTTAATAAGAAGGTAGGAGCTAAACAGGTTTCCCACAGCTCATTCCTTAGAGGGAAATAAAACTGCTGGTCAGTCGCTAACGCCCCTACAGAACCCACGGGGAGTGGAACCTGCCCGGGAGGGCGGCAGCTCCTCACGCGCGGCCCTGCCGAGCGTGGCCGCCACCAACGCCGCGCGGGGCCCCTTAGCGTCTTCCCACATGGAGCAGCACAACAGGGCATTATCCACCATGGAGAAAAAGCCAGGGAGAGAAAGGAGGACACTGTGGGAGAAAAGAGAAGAGACGGATGATGAATGATCCAGCACTATCCAAATGTATTTCTCCTTGCTTTAGTCTTCTTAGTTCAACGGTTTGGTAAAGACAACACCTCTCCTCTCAAGCTCCCACTGTTCTGCACAAAGTTTAATTTATACGAAGTTTAAAATAAGCTAGTGCCTCAAAGCTATACCCATTTATCTTCCGTATATAACATTCTTCTGATCACTTTTGAATAATGTTTTATCCCTGTGTCAAGAAGGGAGAGCACTTCCTAGTGATGAGTTTCTTGTGTCTTTGCAGACACTACTCCCCAGCTCCCAGTTCTCCTTCGAGGCATTTTGGAAGAGGTTTCGATGCTGTCCTCAAGGTAAGGAGCCATCACATGGCACCAAAGCTCTTGAAGACCTCAGCTGTTAGTCAAGATGAAGGGCAAAGGTAGAGTTGAGATAACTACAAAATGTCATAGGTAGTTGAAACAGTGCAATGTTACTACATCTCCTATAAATCCATGAAAGGAGCCAACGAAAAGCACTCTAATACCTAAAGATGGCTCAAGTGAGGGCTCTTCTATCCCATCAGATGAGAATTCTCACATGGCAATCAAAAAAGTACCAACAAATGGGAAAACACGAAACCAAATTACACACAGTTGAATTACCCAGCCGTTTTGTTCCCTTTTTCATACGCGGAAGACACATCCTCCCTCTCCTTCTATTTAAACCTTGTCCTTTCCTAGTCTTTCCCACAGGTATTTCCTGTTAGCCACTGCTGGATGCTGATGCCATGTGGAATTTAAAATATAGCAGCTCCAAAACAATAAAAATACCTTCCTTAATGGAAGGTGGTACCGTTTTCAGCGGCCCACATTCTTGCTGCTGACTTGCTTGCTCTTGTGTCTATTGAAAACCAGGGATGAAAGTTTCCATTCACTCCAAAAGGAGCATCGGGCCCTCGACACCCACAGGCTGCTATGAGGGTTTTTGGCTACACCATGAGAAGAGCCTTTTTTGTGCCTCTAATGCCAACATCCTCCTTTCTGGTTCCCTTGCAAAGCAGCCCTATTCATGCTCTGAATGCCACAAGAAAGTTCCTTTTAACCTGTCAAGCCAGTTTCAAACAAATGGGTGCAAATTCCAGTTCATCTCGGGCAGGTCAGTGGCAGTTAATTCTCTCGTGTTTACTCAGCAGGAAGATGGAGAATTGAATCATTTCAACCCACAACAGTCGCAAAGTTTATTTCCTTAACACGTATGTTCTGTAATTTCAACAAGAAAGGAATTGCCTTTCCTGGGCGGCTGGTGTGTAACGTGATCTGAAGCACCTGGAGAGCAAAGAAAAGGGCCGGGTATCCCCGTGCCAGCTCTCCCCCAGGTCAGGCTCCCTCCTGCTCGTCCCAGAGCAGCTCCTGCCAAATGGAAAATTTTAGAGAGTGGAAATGCAGAAAGGTGGCACCTCAGCTGGTGTGGAGCACTCCATCGCCCTCAGCACTTAGCGCAGTCAAAGGCGCCCTTGTTTATTAACGAGGCCGCGAGATAACGAATGCGGTGGGACACAGCCTAACTGGCACAGCTGCCTCAGAAGTCGCTGTCAAACAGAAGAGCAAAATGCTGAGACAGCAAAAAGATGGTTTTCCTACCTTACCCCAAATCTTTAAAATGTATATTTTCTTCCTAGAAAATTCCAGTATGAACAATTAGGAGCTCTCATTAGTGAAAGAAGAAACTGTCACCATGCAGGAGACTCCCCTGCCGCAAGCCAGCCGGCACGGGGCGAGGGAAGGCCCGGGAGGGAAGGAGGGGTGCCCTTGGCTTTGTGAGGAGCTTGTAACCACCACACGCTGGAGAAAGTCTGGAGGAAGATAATGCTGGGAACAATAGATCCCAGCTTTGCTGCGGCAGGAGGGAAGCAGGGTGCTTCACTCCCATTTTAATAAAATGCTCGTCTGTTTTGCCTGGCAGCCTCTGCGGAGGATTAGCAGATTTAACACCAGATACGTGATGCAAATGAAACTTCCTCCTGTCATTTAGTAAGCAATTTTCAGGTGCTATTAGATAATTGCAAACGCTTACCTTGAGCTTATTAAATACCTCTTCGGGTCATAAGAGTTAGAAATACATAGGGGGAAAGGTATGTATGTTAAGGGCTGAGAAAGCTATAAGCACTAGCTGACATTCATCAGGTGTTCCCACAACAACGCAGAAGGGCTCTCGGACACAGCGGACACAAGGAAAACAACTCGTTGGCTTCCCTGTTTCTTAGACAAATGTGGCCATTCTCGTGTTTTTCTCTAGAGACTGTTTAATTTGATCTGTAAGTCACAATTCAGCCCACTTCGAAACTCAGAGAGTGAATACATGGATGGAAAGGAGTAAGAGGAAACCTTTTCTCTTCCCTTTGCTTGGGAAATAGGTCAAGTACACTTACAATTGAAGAGGAAATGTTTTGAAGGATTAAAAACAACAAGCACTTCATGGGACTGCCCAAAGGGTTAAATTATTTCTTATACAAGCTTGATCTTTTACCTACCAACTTCTGTTCTGATTTTTCCACCTAATGACACGCTAGCTTTAGCACAGTATAACAGGAAAATATGTCTGCAACTAGTAAATCTGACAGAATATAATTTAAACTATCAATATTATTTTTACACAGATTTCATAATCTTCACCCATATTACACTTAACCATTCCTAGAATTAAATTTGGTGGTAATTGCAAGAAATTACAGGGTTCTTTATCTAAGAAAGTCTTATATAAATAAGGCATGCAGACATCTGGTAATGACCCCACCATTTAGCTTGGGGTATTGTGCTGGCATGGGAAGCCATGAGGCAAAACGATTGCAAGAGACACGTAGGTGTCTGAGCACTGCCTGTCCAATACACACAACGACAACTATTTCTGACAGAATTAACGTGTGAGTAATGTGATAAACCTGAAAAGTCCCATTAAAGTGAATTACTTGCAAGGATAAAGCAGGTATTTGTTTTTAAGCTCGAACAAAAGAAGATTCATGGAATGAAAATTGCATTACATGATGATACGTCTCATTCCTTTTATAGTTGAAATTGTTTCGCAAAGACTAGTCTTGAGCACCGCAATTTATTTTTACCTTCAAAATCCCCGATCATCTTTGAAAAGTCATTTAATCTGACAGAGTCACTCGTTAACGGGAGGTGAATTTCCAATTCCCTTCTGCAGGTATAGGATTTCCTCAGAGAACTGCACTCTGCCAAAGCTAGGCAGGAACTAAAGGTTTACATTAAGTTCATAATGACCTCTATACATCACATACGTGATGGTGTTAAATCTCTCTCCCCTATCTCTGCAAGGCTGGAAGTAGGAACCCACGGGAAAAGAGATCATAGGAAAAGAAAAGCAGCCTTTCTTCT